CCTGGCACACTGCTCGGCGCCGATCGCCCCTTTTCTCCGAACCCATTTGAGCTTGTTTCCCCCTTGGCTGCCCAGTTCCCCCTGCTCCTCTGGGCTTTGGGGTGGTCCCATCTGCAGGGCGCCCAAACGGGAGCAATCCACGGGCTGCCACCCTCGCAGCGCAAGCGGGACGGAGGCATCCAGCCGCAGGCAGTACGTGGGTGCCTCCATTCCAGCCACCGGCTGGATTCAGCCCTCCGCTCTCTGTGCGCCCCTCTGCTTACCCACAAGGGCCCCTCCGGCGAAAGCCATCAGCACTGACACCAGGCTGCCTGGAACCCTCCTTGGATGCTGGGTGTCCGCGTCTTGTACGTGCCAGTGAAGTCAAATGCCTTGATGAACCTGCGGAGGGCAGAGATGGCGAGGATTGCTCCTGGGAGGAGATAGTCCCCAGCTCTGGAGGAGCCACATTGCCCTGCTCCCTTGGGCACTCCTCCCAAGCCCCATCCCTCTTCTGCAATGGACCAGGAGAGCGTCGCAATGACACCAAACACCACTCACTTCCTTCTCCTCTGGCCCCTGGCAAAGCTTTGCCTAGGAGGAACCCAAAATACAAACAATTCTTTTGTCTTTCAGACCTTGAGCCTCACCAAAACAATGCGGGGATGGAGGGAGGAGCACTTCCCCACCCAGGGTGCCCCAGAGTAATGCCAAGCAGTAGGGTTGTGGCTCACTTTCTGAGGCCACCATAATCTACAAGAAATGAGTCTTTCACACTTCAGTAAGCCTGACACACTCAGTGCACTCCCTTGGTTTTGAGGGGGAGAGGGGAACTCTGGACAATTAACAAGGGTTATTAATTACTTCTTGCTCCCAGCCCAAAGAGGCCCAGATAAAATCTATTCTCAGGGAAGAGTCTGAAGCTGTCTTACCCTTCCTTTCCATATACATCCTCTGTGGCTGCAGCTGCAGTGATGGCCCCCACAATGCCCCCAATAAGGCCTGGCATGGCATGGAGGTTGTGGATGCCACATGTGTCCTGGATGTGCAACCTGGACTCCAAAAAAGGCTGAGGGGAAGGGAGGTAGAGAGAGATCAGGGACATGAGCACAGCCTCAGAAAGGGTTAGTTCCTTCCATGGAAGACTGGGGTAAGCAGAGAAGGAAGAATGATATTGTGTCCCATTAAAGAGCTAAAGGCTTGTAGACAAAGATGTGAGCCAAACTCAAGATAAAACAACAACATATCCTCCAAACACTCTCCTGTTGGGAGACTGAACCTTCCCGAGCATTTTGGGGCAGTAAATGGAGTCAGAAGTGCATCTACGTAAGGGATGGTGGGAAGCAGGAACCCTCAAAGTGAAGTGAATCCATTTCTGGTGTCCTTAGCAGGACCAGGGCTGCAGACCCCCAGAGCAGCACTCACCGTAAGGTAGACATACCCCACTGTGGACACGATGCCACAGATGAACCCAACAATGAGGGAGCCATATGGAGTCAGCATCATTTCCGCGCTGGTGCCCACAGCCACGCCGCCTGCCAGTGTTGCATTCTGGATGTGGACCTGCAGAAATAACAGCCCTGTCTTGGCATCTTGGGGAGACCGCTATTGCTCAGGGATGGTGCAAGTGGTAAAGCGGGAGCATAAGCTCTGAAAATGCTTCCAGAGGAAATATCATGTCTGATTTTCCTGCTTCTTGGTGAAAAACAAGAAAGAAGAGGCAGCCTGTCTGTAGCACAGGCGCACATAGACTCCCACTCGCTGTACCACACACATTCTTTGCATCCACAAATCTGGGTGGGGAGTTGTCATGAGACGGAAATTGTCTCACCTGTGTGTCACGCAAGCTCTGCTGTCACAGAGACATGTCACCCACACACATAACATGTACAAGTCAGCCCCCCAATTGCTCATGAGCTGCGGCGCAGGCCCTGCTCAGCTCTCTGGAGAGCGCTGCAAAACACGGCTCTGCAACATGCCCATCAGCAGCTCTCGGGGCAGAGCAAGTCCAGTCCCTGCTGTGACAGGTCCACCATGTGCAGGGCATCACCCTGCACCTCAAGCACTGCAGGACTCACTTCCCATCTGCTTAAAGCCTCTGGGTTTCTGCCTGGATGCTGGTTGCACCATCACACCCTGAAATCCAGTATCTGTTCAGCAAAGGACAAGTGCCAATCGTTTCCTGGACACTTGATTAGCCTCATTATAAGTCCTCTGGGCAGCGCCCAGCTCTCTGCTCCCAGCTTACCATGTCAAGCTTGCCTTTCTTCTGCAGCATGCTGGAGAAGGCCATTGTGGTGAGGACACAAGCAGCCAGTGAGCAGTAGGTGTTAATGGCAGCCCTGTGCTGGGCATCCCCATGCTCAGAAATTGCTGAGTTAAAACTGGGCCAGTACATCCATAGATACAGGGTACCTGGTGGGATGGGGAGGAGGGGACGAAGAAGGGAAAGGGAAAAGAGAGAATACAGGGACTGAAAAAACTTCTAAAGAAGATCTTTCTGCACAGGGGCAAGTCTAATCCCATAGTGCTGCTGCCCCAGAGCTGCACCCCCCATGGTGGGACCGGCATCAGGAGGGGCTGGCAGAGAGGGGGAACCAAAATGTGTCCTTGTCTTCCCAGGCACCATTTCAGCCCAGACACTGATGAAGGGAGCTGAGTAGCTCTGAGAGGTGGAAGACTGGGATACAGAGCTTCTGAGCCCCAGATCCTGGTTTCAGTTTGGTTCTCCTAGAGACACAGGAGGGACCAGCCTTCTGCAGATCAGCCGACTCACCGATCATAGCGAAGAGGTCCGAGTGGTACACGGAGCCCTGCTTGTCCTTACTCTGCTCCAGGTTGGGTCTGTACAGGATGCGTGTCACTGTGAGGCCAAAGTAGGCTCCGAAGGTGTGAATGGTCATGGAGCCACCCGCGTCCTTAACCTGCAGTCATGGGAAAACAGAGGTTTGCTTCTCTAATCGCCACTTGTTTTGGAGCTGAGGTCTGGTTTGCCACACGGAAAGGAAGGAACAGAACCAAGTGGGCGCTGCCTAAAGCCTTACATGAAGCAGGTTGAGGAGGATGTACTCATTCACTGCAAAGAGTGTGACTTGAAACAAAGTCATGACGAGGAGCTGTATGGGGCTGGTTTTGCCCAGGATGGCTCCAAAGGCAATGCACACAGAGCCCACACAGAAATCAGCATTGATCAGGCTGGAAAAGAGGAAGGATAATTGTGGTTTAGTGAGGAAATACTCTTCTGTAACTCACTCTCACCCACCCCCATCTCAAGACATCCCACCTGAAGACAAACAGCTGATTAGGAGCCAGCCCTGGATTTCCCACTGACCTTCCTCCCATTCTGACATAGTGTCCAGGAAAGGAGTTTTCCCACAAATTATTTAAATAATGTGTATTATGTATGTTCTCAGCACTGGCATCCATGGTGCTTGGCTTGGGACTAAGGGATGATGCTTGTCTCACTTTTTCCTTTGAGCAGTACCACCATCATGGCAAGCACCTTCCGGCTCAAAGGTGGAAAACAAGTGGAGGTATGCGGAGGGAAGACAACATTTTAAAGATTCAGTTTGCATGTAGCAGAGGGACAGGCACAGCCAGCTGCTTGGCTCCTATCCCAGCTCTTCCACAGGCCAGTCAAAAGGTGGCATCCCAGAGCCCATCTCCTCCTTACTTCTCCACTCCAATGAGGATCTTCCCGCTCTTGAAAGAGTGGAACCAGCCTTGCATCAGGAGAGCCCACTGGATCCCAAAGGCAGCAAGGAGGAAATTGAAACCTACAGCTCCGAATCCATAACGCTTGAGGAACATCATAAGGAAGCCAAAGCCCACAAAGATCATCACGTGGACATCCTGGAAAGCTGTGCAGAGGGAAAGGACCATCAGATCTGTGGGGAAGGCAGAGCTGCAAGTGCTGTTTGAAGTCAGCAGTGAAAGGAAACCAACCACATCAGTGGCAGTAGGGGGGGGAATTCAAGTGAAGATGTGTGTTTGTCCCATGACCCCACATTTCTAAGTCTGAAAATGGCTCAGCTTTTGGAAACTGGCTTTTGGTTAAAAGGCTCAGTCTTGAAAGTAAAAAAAAGTTTATTAAAAGCTGCACGCAAGAGAAGACCAGAGACTGATGGAGTGTACAATGGAAAACATTTTCCTGTTCAAATTGGTTTTTTTCCTTTTTATAAAAAACTCAGAAGATATAATGAAAAATGAACAGTAAAGTTTTGTTAAAAACACGTGAATGGTCATTTTGGGTAGGTCCATCCAATCCAGGGTCCTGATGATGGCTCAGAGCAAGAACAGTACAAGAACAAGTGAGGTTTACAAATATATTTTTAAATGCCGCTGAAATCAGTGGCAAAATACCCTTGAGACCAGGATCCCACCATGTGAGATTTAGAGTACTTAAACCAGAGAGACCCAGTTCTTCCCACAAATGCTCCGACCTGCTAACTTGAGACCCTCAGATGCCCTTCCCCGAGGGAAACCAAACCTGTGTGAGCCTCTTGAAAGAACTGCTCAGTGCAGTAAACCTGCTGTACTTTTTAATGCTGCACATTTCTATCAGATAAGCATCGCTTTGCAGTTAAGTGAGCTGA